CAGTTAATAGTATTTCTTTTATTTGAGTGTGTCCTCCTTGCTTAGCTATTTCTACTGCACTCTTTCCTCTCTCATCTTTACTGTTAGGATCAGCTCCTAACTGCAGTAGCATTGATACTTCAAAACTATCACCAGCTTTAACTGATTCATGGAGCGAAACATCAAAATTGTTATCATCTTTTTTTTTGATAGGAATCGCTTTATTGTCAACAGCAACTTCCAATATTCCTAATCTACTCATTGAGTTTGTTCTGTTATTGATAGCATCAATAAGAGACTGTGATAGTGAGGTTGGTATTAACAGTGTAATGACAACTGAACCAAAATCAATGTCCACTATAGTAGAAATATCTGCTACTTTATGCCCAAAGTAATACTGAAGGACTCTTTTAAATTTAGATAGAGTCATTTCATCCCATCTGTCGCTTAGCTGAATAACAACTGGTTTTTTTTTATGGCTAGTGGTTGGTGAAGCTGCTGTTGGTAATGATGACAATTTCTCTTTGATTTTTGATCGTATGTGCTTCAATTGAGATGATTCTGAGAATTTATCAACACTACGAATGTATTGAGTTAGTTCAATTTGTGCAGTTGAAAGGTAAGTGTCTGCCAAGTGTTTAAGCACACCATCACAGTTAAAGAAATCATAATGAGGCTGAAGAGAGTAGAATAAGTCATCAACATTGCCATATTTCAAACTGGATACTTTAATGCTTAAGTAAGTAGCTGCACTCCTAGCTACAGCTTTAAGATTCACTTTTCCCTGTTTCACCAGCTCCTCAAACTCATCCCTTATATCACAATCAAGAGATGCAAACCGAGAATGAAGACTTTTAATATTGGCAGCAACTTCACTCTTTGAACTGAGCTCAATGACAGTAGTAGGAGTAGATGATTGTGATCCAGTGATTGTTGGTTGTGGTGTGTGAGATTGTGGAGTGACATCCACTGGTTGAAGTGGTCCCTTACTGACTGATGGTTGCTGCTCTAGATTAGGGTCAACATGACCACCTTTTCCTCCTATAATAATAATAATAAATCAATTAATAATAAATCAATGGGGTGTAAAATGCTGTATCTTACTTAAATTTTCCATCAGTTTAGATGCCATGTTGTTGAGTCCTACTTTCTGTAGTGAAGTAATGAGAGAAGAGAACACACTGTTAGGATTAGGATGACACTCAAGTGTTGCTAGTACTGAAGAGAATATTTTATTAGCTCTATCATAAGGAGTGAGTCCTGCAGTACTTTCAACAGTAAGATGTACTGCTTTAGGAATGAGATCAGATGAAAAGAGATGATTATTTAACTGAGAAATAACTGGAGCATTTCCTGCCAACAGATCAACAAGATCAGCTAACATCTCTTTCACTGTAATGTATTCTGGTGACATTGATCCTTCCATTGGTTTGAACAAACCTATGCAAAAAATGCAACAAATGCAACAAACCTTGACACATTACCTTTTATTCCAGTAGTTCTCACTTTTTGGAGCAGTATTGGATGTTCTTCAAATGCTCTTATAAGAAGAGACATTCTTTCATGATCATTAACAGCATTTCTAATCTTCCTTATAGTATCAGTATCAAGCAGTGGTAGAAACTTCTCAAGTTGTCCTTTTATTAATAACTCATGAAACTTTATCAATTCAGATACTTTTGGTCTATCATCTGGTATATCCATTAATGCAATAGGAGAGAGTGGAGGACCTCCTATCAATGGCTTGTTTGTACCTGTAGGAGGAGCTGGTCCTATTGTTCACAAAAAAAACAAAAATTTGCAGCAGTATAGCTTTCAAATTAAAATTCATTTTCTCCCATGCATAAGAATTATAAAAGTAAATAAAAAACATTAAAAATGGAAAAGTAGTAGGATTGAATT